GCGTCGCGGAGGCACCTGTCCTCTCCTCGAACACTTTCATAAGAGGCGGCGATACTTACGCAACGCCGGGCGATATTTAGCTCTTACGGCGAATACGCGGCTAACCTCCCTCGTTCCCTTCGTCCTAACCTAAAATTTCGTTTTCTCTCCTACAATTTCTTGCCTAACCTAAAATTCGAGTTTTGATGAAATTTCACCGACTTCGATGAAATTTCAACAATTTCGAAGCTCGATTTCTACCTCGGTTTTCGCGGATTTCGCTGGGGCCGAAGTTTTCTTTGGATAGAAGACGAGAACGATCTGCCTTCGTCCTAAACCTAACCTAAAATTTCATTTTCTCTCTCCTGAAGTTTCTTGGCCAACCTAAAATTTCAGTTTCGACTTTGAACGATCCCCCTTCGTCCTAAACCTAACTTAAAATTTCTTGCCCAACCTAAAATTTCAGTTTCGACTTTGAACGATCTCCCTTCGTCCTAAACCTAACCTAAAATTTCTTGCCCAACCTAAAATTTCAGTTTCGACTTTGAACGATCCCCCTTCGTCCTAAACCTAACCTAAAATTTCTTGCCCGATCTAAAATTTCATTTTCTCTCCTAAAGTTTCTTGCCCAATCTAAAATTTCAGTTTCAATTTCGAACGATGTCCCTTCGTCCTAAACCTAACCTAAAATTTCATTTTCTCTCCTAAAATTTCTTACCTAACCTAAAATTTCATTTTCTCTCCTAAAATATCTTATCTAACCTAAAATTTCATCTACCCACGATCGACTTTGACGAAATTTCAACAACATCGAAGTTTAATCTCTACGTCTCGCGTATTTCGCAAAGGTCAAAGTTTTCCTTGGAAACGAAAGACGAGAACGAGTTTCGCCTGGAGACGGAAGAGAACGGGGATTCCGTTTGGTGTTTCTTTCATCCAGCTACCCGCAAATAAAACACGAGGACTATTCCAAAGATAACTTGCTCATCCTTGGACCAATCAAGATCGACCTAATTGAAAACCCTTCCCTCTGGGCACCTCTTATCAACTTTCGAAACTATCTCCCGCCAACGTGACCAATTAACTACCATCGAGTCGGCCATCGTCGAGTTAATCGTCCGCCATAATCTCGAGTGACCAGCTGATGCTCGACTTTACCACGAGATCGTTCGATCGTACCTCGATCGCAACGAAGATACGCGAAGTGGAAATCGAAACGTTTTTTGGCGTCTCTGGTTCCTCTCCCTTCTGCCACGGGAGGGCCAGTTACTTTACTTTCCTTCGGTAATAATACGTGAGTCTATTAGGTCAGTCGAAACGAACGGAGCATGTGTCTACTTTTAGCATATGTACGTCGACGCGGCGGATAATCCGAAAGGGGTCCCAAGTAGCGAAGAAGCCCTCGGTATCCACGCCACGCGTCGGCCGGCAAGTTTATATTATTGTGCTGCCACGTATATTTACAGAGGGCCGGGGAATTTTTATTAGGTTAGGTTGATCGTTCGTCGCCTCTGTTCTTCTCGACTTTATCGCTCTTCGGGCAATTTTCCCTCTTTTCAGACACAGACAGTAACGCCCTCTGTGACGCGGAGAAATTGACGAAAAAATTACGAAGAAATTAACACAGGTGACAAACAACCTCATAGAACACGCGTAGGATAAATTTAGGACATTTAACACTTCGATTTTTTTCTTTTCCATCGAACTCTATTTAAATCTAATAAAGGTGTGTTAGGTTTAGGTTAGGTTCGATAATGGTTGCCACCATTGAGAAATACAATGTAGAACACGCAAGCTTTTACTTATGTATTTTATAAATAATCATTTACAGAATCTTCAAAAATAGACTGTTTCACGTCTATAAATATATCTAACGAAAATTGCGAACCATTTGGACATACATAGTACGAGCTTTAGACGAGAAATTATTATAATAAGAAATCGGCAGGTTATATATTGTTGAACATTTGAGGTTAGATTCGTTTGAAAAATTAATGGTCAAACATGTTCAGAAGAAAGAAAATACGAATAACAATTGAACTACGTATGCATACGAATCGCTTGTCGCGATTCAGTCTCGTGGAAATCGATCAACAAAGTGGACACGCTTAAACGAAGCTCCCGCGTTGCACGCACGAGGATATATATAGACGGAAACATTGAATTAAGTTCTAGTTGCAAGCACATATCGATGTCATTTATAGAACGAGCGACCCAGAATCGACCCGGTCCTATATCACGGTATTCTCGACGCGCGTTTTTCGAATCCTAAATCGGAGGTGCCTGTCAACCATCGAAAAACATAACCTTTTCGCTCCGCCGGGGCGCCACCCCTTGCCCGTGTACACATTGATCTAATTATCTTCCGAGTCGGTTATTTTGTTTTGAAATAGAATTTGCTTTGAATATTTCTAGCAACATTTGATGACAATGAATGCTTTGGCCTAGAATGTTTTGTTTCAACACTATCGGCGATTAAAGCGTGAAACTTCCATGAGAGTTTTTATTTTACGTAAAGTTATTTAATAATTATTTAAAGACTCTGAAAATACGCTGTTTCACATTTGTAAAATAGCCAACAAAAATTACAAATTGATCATTTGGCTCGGTTTGGTAGTTCAAGCGTCGAGCAGCGACTTTGATTTTTCAAGTGATAATCTAACCTCAAACTTTTTAAGAGGTTTTTAACAGTTGTGTCTGTAGGTCTTCGACAGTGGAATATTTATACGATAAGAGAAATTATTGTAACGAAAAATCCTTCTTAATCTATCGTAATTCGGAAAAGACTGGCTGACAATTGTCAATTTGTCAAACACAATTTTCAATCCCTTGAAAGTTTGAGGTTAAGTTTTCCTTTCGTTTTGAAAAAGTTAAAATTTCATTGAAAAGAAGAAAAGAAGATATTAATAGGCCTTCGTTGGAAAAAAAAAAGAAAGATCGCAAGCAAGATCGCGAAGGGCAGACCCGATTTTGACGAGAGATGAGCGGATCAACCACTTGCGCTGGCAACTGATTGCGGACCATAACGAGCGACCAAATCGTACACAATAAATCGTCGCTTTCTTTTTCTTTTGAACTCGTCGG